CTTCTCTCCACCATCTCGTCTTCCCCCTTTTTCCTTTCTCCTCCTTGGCCTCCTTTTATTTACTTTTCTTTCTCTTACTGTTCTGTTACACGCAAACTAACTATGCTTTTATTTCTTACTACTTTTTTCACCCCTTTTTCACCTCCGGTCCGGCAGACTTTGTTTCTCTCTGAAACAGTCCCCTTTTTTACTTCTTTTTGTCATCTTTCTGTTTATTTTTTCATTCCTTCTTTGTTCTCATGTTATTTCTTTTGTCATTCGTTGTTTTGTTTTCATTCTATTGTATTTTTCTTTTCTCGATAAATTGTTACCTTTTTTTTAATTTTTCAATTTTTTTACTTCTCTCACCATTTCTTTCTTTTGCTCTTTTCTTTAGATTTTTATTCATTTCGACTTCTTTTGCTTGTTTTTTTTTCGTTCCTTCTTCCTTTTATCTATTCCTTAGTTTGTTATTTAGCTTCCTAATTGTTTTCTTTGTTTTGCTTTTAGTTATTATTGCTTCTTTGTACTGATTGCTTCCTTTTTATTTCTTCTAATTTTGTTTTTTTCTTTTAATTTTGTTTTTTTTTTCTTTCACCGCTGTTTTTTATTTTCTTGTTTGCTCCATTACTGTTTGCTCTCTTTCACTTAGCTTTTTCGCTTTTTTATTTTTTGTTCTGGTTTCCTGTAAACCTTCGTTTTGTAATCTTTTCATGTTCTGTTCTTCCCATATTCATCAATTCCTTCTTTCCCTTTCCCAATTGTTCCTTCTTTCCCTATTCGAATATTTTCGTTTCCTTTGTTCTTTTTCTTGTTTTCTTAATTTTGTTTCTTACTGCTCCTTTTTTCCTTTCAGTTTGGTTTCCTCACTACTACCACCCCATTTTCATTTTAGTTTTCTCTTCATCTTTCTTCTGTTCGTCCTTTCTTCTTTTCTCGTTTTGTCTTTTTCATTTCTTATTTTATATTTTTTTAATTTTTCACTACTATTGTTCTTTTCACAGTTTTCTCCTTTTTACTATGATTTCGGATGCATTACTTTTCCTATCTCCTCTTTCCTTCCATTTCTGGGTGTCCTCATTCCTTTTCCCTATTTCTCATTCCGTTCCCTATCCTTTTTAATCCCTCCTTCCCTCGTGAGCCACTGTTGAGTTGGCGAACGATGCAGACAGTTACCTTACTTTCGTCTTTACTTTTCTCCTTCGAAAATCCACAAGCGGCCCCTCTCGACTTCCTGAAGAGCACCGCAAAGGCTGTGTTCCAATTCTTCGACAGCACGTAGACTGCTTAGAAGACAGCACCGAGCCCGCACGGTCCGAGAATTAAAATGCGCCACCTCGCGTCGATAAGGAAAAGGTAAAATCGACAAACTCCACACTTGTATTTTCTGTATTATAATTGTATTTTCTGCATTGAAATAAAAAATTAAACATTACTCACAATGAGCAATTTTTATGTTTGTTTTTTTTTGTGCAAACGATCAGTCCAACGAGAATTGTTCTATCTGATCTAGTCGCTGACCCACCATCTTGTTTAGACAGCAAAATAGCCTGCATCATATTTGTCTACGATGCGACCTTCTTGCAACTGCATTGTTACCGGCAACAATAAGCATTCCAACGGGACTTAAGATGGTCACCATTCATTCATCTCTTTATTTAGGCGTGTACAGTTAGTACTTAAACACACCCAATATTGTTATGCAAGTTTCCATCACAAACTAGACAAATAAGTCCGACTCGTCCAATAACTCTTTCCTAGCCTCCAAGAACTCCTATACTACTATCTCGTTTATAGATGAATTGGAGAGAAAAGTCCCACCCATAACTGTCTCCTTTTCCCATCAGCACAACAGCTGCGGTGCCCACAGCCATGAAACAGCTTTACTGAACATTTCCTTTCAATATCACAACCCCCCCCCCCCCCCCCACTCTACCCTATCATCGGATGACTGTGCTCCTCCAGCAGTTTCAAACACGCCAGCTCTGAAAAGAACACTTCCAGCTTAGTGCTCCTGCTCATACATGATTTCAGCATAATGCTGAAGTCATGTATGAGCGTGATGTGCTTTTTACACTACCTATTATTTCCTCCCACGTTCAGCTTGCACACACGTGAGACCACAATACAGTTAACAACAATACACGATATGTTATCCAATGTGCAATATACCTACCACACAATCTGAAGTGATTCTTAAAAGAGAAAAGAAGAGAAAAGTGAGCCCCACTATTGTGTGCTTCAGTGAGCGACACCGCCACACCAGCTCACGAGGGATGGGGGTGAGGGATGGGGGGAGGAGAGCTAAAAAGGATAGGAGTAAAGATGTAAGAAATCCGAAGAAGGAGAAGAGAGGAAGAGACGTGAAGTGTGAGCCAGAGCGAGCGACGACAAAATGAGGGGATGGAAGAGATAGGAAAGATGGGAGCACGGTGACTTGAGTCCGATGACGGGGCGCACCTGCGAGAGCTCCTTTCGGCGTCGGTGGATGGCGTACAGCAAGTCCAGTAAGTCAGAGCTGCACGTCGGAGGTGGAAGGTCGTCGGCGGCAGGAGGTGACGTAGGACGAGCCCAGTCGGCCAGAGCTACGCTGACGCCGGAGATCGCAAGCGGAGTGGTTCTTAAGAGAAAGGAAGAGAAAAGTGAGCCCCGTTATTGTCTGCTTCAGTGAGCGACACCGCCACAGAGCTCACAAAGGGATGGGGGTAAGGAGGGATAAAAGGGTAGAAGTAAAGGTATAGGAAAGAGGAAGAAGAAGCAACAACAAACTGAGGGGATAGAAGAGACAGGAAAGATGGAAGAACGGTCACTGGAGTCCGAGGACGGGGTGCACTTGCGAGAGATGTTGACGGCGTCTGTAGATGGCGTAGAGCAGGTCCAGTAGGTCAGAGCTGCGCTGTCACCGAAGACAGCCGGCGACAGGAGGTGACGTAGGGCCAGCCCAGTCGGCCAGAGCTACGATGACGCCGAAGGTCGCGAGCGCGCGGAGCGCGCGGGCGCACAACCGGCCGGCACGAAATCCAGGGAGCGTCCGGAGATCGCAAGCGCGCAGAGTGGTGGGTGGTAGTGGTTACAATGAAGAGGAAAAAGGCACCTAATTTCTGTCTGCCTTCAGGCGACACGGCGCAGTGCCTTATAGGGGTGGGGGGAAGGAGGGATAAAAAGAATAGAAGGAAAGTAGAAGCAGAAGAAGACAGCCAACGAGAGGAAAAAGAAGGAGATAGGAAAGTGGGGATCCGGTCGAAGCAGTCCAAGGGCGGGGTGCCACAATGCGAGAGCTACACGGCATCAGGAGACCGCGGAGGGCGAACCAGTCGGCGGGAGCTACGCTGAAGTCGGAGATCGCGAGGGCACAACCGTCCAGCTTGAAATCCTGCGAGCGAATCGCAGAGTGCCCGACCGGTCGGCCTGAAATCCAGCAAGTGAGTCCACCACACAATTTGATTGGCTATGAAAGAGGAAAAGGAAGAGAAAAGCGCTGTCCCGTTACTGCCTCTCTGAATGAGGGCACCTCCACAGGAAAGCGCAGGGAAGGGGGAATGGGAATGAAAGAGTCAGAAGAGAAGAGGTAAGAATAGAGTGGTGAAATGCATTCGATCACTGGCCCCGCGCACGCGCGCAAGAAACAACGCAGCACACGCAACCGAGTGAAAGACCGCCGAGAAGCCGGAGACGATGAATGCGCCCGAGTAGTGAAAAAAAAAAAAAAAAAGAAAGTCACTCACACGCACACACCACCGAACAGGCAGGAAGAAGTTTTGGGCGCTCCGCAATCACGAGGGAAGGGGAGAGAGTGTCCGCTCCGACGAGAGAGGCTCCGTAGGAGAGAAGAAGGCCGTCAGGCAGGTGGGAGTGGCTAAGTAAACAGTCACGTGGGACTCCGAGGGGGCGTGGCGCGCGGCACAGAAAACAACAACACGTGGGATTGTAACGGGCCTCTTTAGAGGCGCGTGAAAAGGTTCGCGTCGCCAAAAAAGTCTAGGAGCGCATAGAACGCCCGGCGAAGTGTTGCAACATTCGCCGAGGGGAACAGCAAGTGTTCTGCACTCACGTGTGGCAGGCCGAGTTTCCCGTAGCTGTTGCAGAGCCGGCGACGAATGTCCGCGTATCCCGGGCACTGGCACAGGATGTGTTCAACGGTCTCGTCTGCCGGACACTGCACACACGAAGGGCTGCCACTGCCACGCTGTTTGGAGAGCAGTTGAGCTGTTCGGCCGCATCCAGCACGAAGGCGCAGCAGGAAAGCACGAGCACGCCGCCCGATTCCCGTTGACGGGAGGCGTGCGACAGGCTTGCCGGCTGCTGTGCGGGGGTCTGGGTGAAGAGCTCGGACGTGGCGTGCGATTATGAGTCGCGCCACATCGTAGTCCCGAACGAAGTTCGTTGTGGGAGTGGAGGGGTCGTGGGCGTCCCTTGCGAGCTCGTCGGCTGCCTCGTTGCCGCGCACTCCGACGTGTGAGGGCACCCACTGAAACGACACATCGCACCCACTGCGGATGATCACGGTGAACTTGCGCGTGATGCGCTGCGCGATCGAAGAGCCATTTTCGCCCCTCGCAAGGGTGAGGAGGGCCGCCCGAGAGTCGCAGAAGATGACGGCCGAAGACGGGAGGAGCTCGGCCACACAATCTCTCACCTTTCCTTGTATGCTGCCAAGCGAGTTCGTGCTTCCTGAGCATAGTCGTGTCTCCAAGAATGCAGTGACCAGGGTAGAACGCTGCGCTCGGCTTCTTCCTTCGCGCGATAAGGTAACTAGGCGACGTTCGCTTGACGGGCCCGTTTTAGCAGCTTGGCTTGCAGGAAGGAGAGGAAGAACTCGCAGATGCGGCGATTGATTCGTGCATGCAGACCCAGGAGAAAGACGACGACGCGAACGAAATGCGGTGAACGTGACAAGTACCCAGCGCGATCAAGCTACTACTACACGAGGTGCTGCTCACCTGAGCGATGACGCAATGATATTGCAAAGAGGGACGGACGGGTATGGCGAACCGCTGGGATCACACTGCCGAAGCATCAAGTGGGTAGCCCTGAAGAGGGCTGTTGTGTTCTCGTTGGCTGGCTGCAGGCGACGCCGCTGGCTTCTTAGCCTCCGAATCCGTACAGGGTGCGGCCCTGACGCTTGAGGGCGTACACGACGTCCATGGCTGTCACGGTCTTCCTTTTGGCGTGCTCGGTGTAAGTGACGGCATCGCGGATCACGTTCTCGAGGAACACCTTGAGAACGCCGCGAGTTTCCTCGTAGATGAGGCCAGAGATGCGCTTGACACCGCCACGGCGCGCCAGACGACGGATGGCCGGCTTGGTTATGCCCTGGATGTTGTCACGCAACACCTTTCGATGACGCTTGGCGCCACCCTTCCCCAGCCCTTTGCCACCTTTGCCACGGCCAGACATGACGGCTTCCGAAGTTTCTGCTTCTGCTTCGAAACGCGCCCGGAAAGCGAATGGTGGTAGTGGTTACAATGAAGAGGAAAAAGGCACCTAATTTCTGTCTGCCTTCAGGCGACACGGCGCAGTGCCTTATAGGGGTGGGGGTTAAGGAGGGATAAAAAGGATAGAAGGAAAGTAGAAGCAGAAGAAGACAGCCAACGAGAGGAAAAAGAAGGAGATAGGAAAGTGGGGATCCGGTCGAAGCAGTCCAAGGGCGGGGTGCCACAATGCGAGAGCTACACGGCATCAGGAGACCGCGGAGGGCGAACCAGTCGGCGGGAGCTACGCTGAAGTCGGAGATCGCGAGGGCACAACCGTCCAGCTTGAAAAAGCGAATGGTGGTGGTGGTAGACACGATCGAGTCGCGGTGTCGGCGCCGGCCCGCGAGACTGAGGAGGAAGGCGAACGGCGCACGCCGGTTGGTCGGCGGCCAGCTCGTCTCTCTCTCCCTCTTTTCTTCGCGAGGAGCGCGTTGGCCGCGCAGGTTGCTGCACTGACTATTTTTCTGCACTACAAGATTGAATATACACGGCAAACATGCTTTCGTTTGTTTGTTTGTTTTTAATTCTTTTCTCGTTACTGTTGCTAAGTTTCTTGCCCATTCATTCACGCACCCTTCACTGCTGCAAAATGGCGTATCAGTCGTATCAGCTGCCCCAGCGGCAAGGAGACATCAAACCGAGTAAGCGACAATTCATGTACGCGTACGTACAAGGCGCTCGCAGGATTTCAAGCTGGACGGTTGTGCCCTCGCGATCTCCGACTTCAGCGTAGCTCCCGCCGACTGGTTCGCCCTCCGCGGTCTCCTGATGCCGTGTAGCTCTCGCATTGTGGCACCCCGCCCTTGGACTGCTTCGACCGGATCCCCACTTTCCTATCTCCTTCTTTTTCCTCTCGTTGGCTGTCTTCTTCTGCTTCTACTTTCCTTCTATTCTTTTTATCCCTCCTTCCCCCCACCCCTATAAGGCACTGCGCCGTGTCGCCTGAAGGCAGACAGAAATTAGGTGCCTTTTTCCTCTTCATTGTAACCACTACCACCACCACCACGTACAAGCCCAGCGGATACAACGCGTCGCTAAAAAAACGTTTCATCGTGTCCAACTGAACATGACACACGCAATATTTGTCAAAACTCACAGCTGCAACAGCTCACCTGTGTGCCGCACGTAATAACGCACACTTAACACTTTGCGACTACTCGTCCCGGCGTGTGCCCCCCCCCCCTCTTTTTTTTTTTTTCTTTTCTATGTTCTCGCTTTCTCTCTAATCACATCAATGCCTCATTTGCACGCACGAAACCCGTTTCACGGCGTCACTTTGACGCCATCCTTGTCGCCAAACCAAGGGACTAACACACGCGGTCCGGGCACGGCCTCATGGCCGGAAATTTCTAAACAAAGCGTGAATTAAGAGTGTTGACATTAGATGAGGTTACAATATCTCAAATGTTTCTTGGTCATCTGTGGGCAATATGCAATGTATAGAGATTCTGGGAAAGCGCATTCTAACTTGTGGTGCCTTCTGAGAATGAGGTATATGTTAGGGAGGGAGGCTGAATACGTTGGAATAACATAGGGAGTAGTATTTGCAGGTTCGGATTTAGTGTTTTTTATCATGTGATGGTGGTCCTGTTTTTCAAATTCTTTAATAGAGTTGTTGATGACAGACTTGGGGCATTGTTGCCATGCAAAGTCATTGGTTAGTTGTTGACAGTTGGAGGCAAAAGTGGCAGTAAATGTTGTGGTTTTCGCTGCGACTTTCACGCATACGTATGCGTGCATGCATGTG